AAATCGATTTTCTTAGGTTTATTTGCCATCCAAGTTTTTGTAGGGTAACCATCACATCGTGGACTTGATTTTTCAGCATCTGTGGATCCTGGTTTGCCAATAAAAAATCGTCCAAATATACTACTATTCGCATTCCACGTTCTCTGAGGATTTGGGCGATCCAATTGGTTAGGGAAGCGAATATTTTTGGGGCACAAGCCAAACCGAAGGGTAGGCAAGTCATTTGGAATAAATGGCCTTTGAATATCAAACGAAGGAAGCACCTGTGAGCTTCTGCAATTGGCAGATGAAAATACGCGTTCGAGAGATCTATTTTCGCTAGCCAATCCCCTGCTTGTATGAAGTCTGGGATTCTGTCATATTTATTAGGTGAAATTTGCTTATCTGAACGTAGAAGTTTAGGTTTTTTAAATTGAAAATTGGCCGGAGTGTGCCGTCGCTTTTGGGGGTCAGAAACATGGGCGAGATAAAACTGGGGCTCGGGGTTGCCGGCTCCAGAACGCCCGATTGTAATAGTTCGGTTATAACAGTCTCCATTTCTTTGGACTGTGGGGTTTGAAATTTCGTAACCTCTGGTCTGTGCAATGGGGGTTTGCAATAAAAGGGTATTATTTTTAAAAGAAACGGAGGGGCATTTAATATTTTCCATTGGTCTATGTATTTGGCCAGCTGACCTGCTCGGAATTGGTTCGAGTCAGTATTTTCTTTTCTGTGGGTAGTCCTTGCGGGGGACATTAGGTTTATTTCTTGATTTACTACCGGTAGAGCAGTGAAATCCATTTGGGTTGATCGTTTGCTGCCGTGTGGGCTTATTGTTTTGTAGGTTATATCGTTTTTATGATCGAATATTTCCTTGCGTAGGAAATGCAGGCAAGTAGGGACCTTGCATTGGAAATTTTGGAAATGGAAAAGGTTTGTTTCCGCAATTAAAGTCATACGAGCCTTGCGCAGGCATTTTCATATTTGTGTATGGTTGTATGGAGCCGCCTGCTTGCGCAGCAGACTTATTTACAGATGGCACACGGAGTGGCCACATTATTTTATATACACCGCCATTTTTTTCTATTGCAGCCGATAAAGAATTTTTATTGAATAAATTTTCAGCAGTTGGGGGTATACGCCTCAATGCCGCCCTAATGTACTTGTCTTTAACAGATCTTAAGATATAGTCACATCTTTGTTGTATTAAATCAGCTCGATGGCCGCACGCTATTTGTAATGCATCATTAGAAATTTCTTGGAAACTACCCTCAATAAAAATTTCATTAATTTTAGATTGAATAGACTGTGGTGAAAGCTCGGCAGTTTTCGACCATGAAATTAGCGCTTCAAAGCCGCTTTGTGCACTTTGCGACTGCTTTATTAATGCCTGGGATATTGCCGCGAAACCACGCTCACAAAGACTAAGATTATTATATTTATCGTAAGATTTGAACTCTTCATTAGTTTCGAGATCTGTATAGCCAGGATAAGAACAATATTGCTTTTGAACATCTACATATCTAACATTAGTCCAATTATCTGAATCAAAATGCTGAACGGATTTAATTGTAGCAAGCAAATTATTTATTTATTTATTTTGGTTACATGGAAGACCAACAGCTTATCTTAATATACTAGAAATGAATAGTAGCGACAAACTATCTGATGTTTTAGGCATGGCAGGTTCTTTAAGTACAGTACGAATAGGGAGTTTAATAGCTGTGGGTTCTGGCGGAGCTCTCGGGCTTTGTGATGCATGAGAAGGTCCAGCCTACGGTTCTGAATAAAGATCCCGGCTTACGTCAGCCTCCATCGAGACACTATTAGGACTAGACTGGTAAATAGGTTGAAAGCCCTGGTAGCCATTTGACAGAATATTCATGATAGCACTGACCTGTTCAGAGAGATTCTTTATCTCTTCACCGTATTAACGACGTTTAGGTGGTTGAACAGAATCCGTGGTCTCCGGCGCCTTCCTTTTTGAAGATTCGGCAGACGCTGGCTGTGCGGTAATTTCGTCCTCCGACGATGAAGTAGAGCTTGATTCGAAAACCATATTTCTATCTGAAAATCACCCGCATATTAGAAAATAATAATAAAAAATCCTTGACTTAATAATGAGTTCTCGTTATTAGTTCTGAAATAAAAGAAACCTTAAGTAGCCGTGACGTAATTTTGTAAAACGAACGGCAAACCGTTAATTTTATAAATATTATTTAGAGAATATTTTAAGTAAAAAGTACATACCAGTTGGTAATATCTTTTTGGCACGACCGAACGCTCTAGAAAATGAAACGCCAATGAGATAGACCGCTGCCATGCTGGCCCGGCTGCCTGGTGCGAGTAAAAAAGTGGGGACGCCAGAGGCGGGGGCGGATGTGACGTAGTACGTGACGTAAGTATCATGACCGAATTGACACGCTAAGAGGAAACGGAAATGCTACTCTCGAATATGTAGGCTTCGAATAACGGTACATAAGCTTAATACGTAGTCCTAACTTTAGCTACCTTACACATAGATCTAAGTGACTATTTGAACTAAAATATTCTTATAGAATTATAACCAGAAATATATACAACTCACAACAAAAAATAAATGAAAATAAAGCTGAAACGCCTGTGCAATACTATCTACCTATACCTCCTTCACTTAAAAATAAATACTTATAACTACTTTAATTAATAAAAGTACCTACGCTTAATAATTTTTAATTTGAACGAATATTTAAACACTACCTAAACAACTAATACCTGTTTTACAAAATAACAACAAAAGAAATTCAAATAAACTATTTCAAGACTGAAAGTCGCGCTGATAAGCACGGTTTCGGTCTCCCAGGCGGGGGAGCAGATGAGAAATCCTCATGGATACCCTACAGCCGGCTGCAAGGTTATGTCAGACTCGTACTGACTAAAAAACACCCGTAGGGGCTGCCTCTGGCCGGGAAGGCTTCATCGGAAGCGATCGTCCCCCAGGGGGGGAGCGACGCAGAAAACAGATTTAGACAGCTCGCTCTCGGACCTTTGATACCCTACCGCTGCCGCGACCCGTGTCGAGCGCGGCAACCGTTACACAAAAATAATCCTTATAGCATGATTCAGTATTCACGTGCGACGGCGTGATGGCTTATTTCATGTATAAGTTTGGTGTTTCTATACCGAGTATTATAAACGTAAGAGTAAACAAATATGATCAGAATGCTCCGAACTGCTAAGCTATCGGGAGTTACACGTGTTATTGTGAGTCAACCATAAAAGATAGACATATGCTGTTGCGGGATATTTTTTAGACAATTTTATGTAGAATATTTCCGTCATACATGATTTCTATGTAACTTTAATCATTAAGGCTGCACACGCGACGGAAGCTTAAAAAATGGAGTAACTTCTCCCGTTTTCCCAACATTTCCCTTCACTACTCTGCTCCTACTGATTGTAGCGTGATGAAAAGTATACTATAACCTGCCCAGGAGTATGAAGAATAATTGTACCAAGTTTCGTTAAAATCTGTCGAGTAATTTTTGTTTCTATAAGGAACATACACACAGACAGACAGACAGACAGACAGACAAAAAAATTACTGATTGCATTTTTGGCATCAGTATCGATCACTAATCACCCCCTGATAGTTATTTTAAAAATATATTTCATGTACAGAATTGACATCTCTACAGATTTATTATAAGTATAGATGATTGTTGCCTCTCAATACATTTACAATTGTATATTGTTTGTGCGTCAGAACATGAATTTATATACGAGGCGCGATGATGTACATAATTTCAATACCAGAAATAAAGATAAACTCAAATTGCCACCATTGAGACTCCAAAAGGTTCTTGGTTCATTTGTGGGTCAAGGTATATGTTACTATAATAAAATACCAAAAGAAATAATTAATTTACCTTTTAATAAGTTTAAAGTGTGTATAAAAACATGTCTCCTTAAGAAAGGTTACTATACTGTAAAAGGTTTCATAAATGATAAGTCACCTTGGGCTTAACATATTAGACTGTCGTTTTACTTTGCTAATTTGGTTGAAAATTGTTTAATCGCAACTTCTAAATTTAAAAATAGTACCTAGTTATACTTAACTTTTGTTAATTAATAATATTAATGTGATGGAAGTTGACATCAACACATGTATTCAATTTTTGATGTCATTTTTCAATTGACGACACTGTGTGAAACAAAACAGGGAGAAAAAAATAGCCCTTGCTGAGTTTCTTGCCGGTTCTTCTCAGTACAAGGTCTCCCGCCGTAGTTTTACGAACCGATGGCGTAGCGTTTGACTTTCACAAGAGCTTGTAACAGCCTAGACTGAATAAATGAGTTTGAATTTTGAATTGAATTTTATATCGAAGGTGATATAATATCTATGCCGCGAGAATGGGCCCCTGAATACGTGGTGGGAAAAATTATAGGCCGACTGCAAAGAGATTTTAATAAATCAATTTGAATAAAGTCAATTTGCATTTCATTTCTCAGAGTAATGGGCGGAACTGGCAATAAATAAGGTACATGTATAGAATCCAGCCTGACTGACCCCTGGAGGTCTACCACGTAACTATAATGTAAATTTTGACATTTCAAACCCATATTTATTGATTTCTCGTACTGTTAATTACGCAGGCATTTTAATTATTATATCTAAATAGGGTGGGGTTTTATTGGGGTGAATCCCTGGTCGAAGGAGAATGTTTTTTACAGTAAAATTTTCTTGAAACATATATTATACATATAATATAAGTTTCTTCATACATATTTTGTTTTTAGCATTAGGTAATCTGCTTGATTTATTAATCTAAAGAAAACTTTTACTAGAAAAAAATCTACTTGGTTAAGGTTTCAGGCAAAAAAACAATATTTAGATTTAAGAATCTTATTCTTTGTTCCTATTAGTTCTACCAATATCAGAGTTGAAAAAATATCTCATGGTAAAAAATCTCTTTTTGAAATTACTGCGAATATAAATACACTACATACACCACATACACTTTAAATATTTTCTTGCACAGATATATGACGCTGATAACAAGCGTTTCGAGCCGCCGTTGCCGGAGATCGCTACCAATTCTCAGCCCCTCTCTGACATGAAGTACAGAGTGGAGATCAACGCGTCCACGGTGGGATTCAAGGTCGTGAGGAACTCTAACAACGTCACTATGTAAGTATCATCAATATCATATCATCATTAGCCTATTAATGTCCCCACTGCTGGGGCACAGGCACTGGGGCTATGGATGGAATAGGGAGATTGGGCCATGACCCACCACGCGGGCCCAGTGCGGATTGGCGGGTGCTAACGACTGCAGATGAAGCCGGGACCAACGGCTTAACGTGCCTTCCGAAGCACGGAGGAACTCGAGATAGAAAATTTTTGGTCACCCATCCAATGACTGACCACTGCGAAAGTTGCTTAACTTCAACGATCGCAGCCGAACGCGCTAGACACTTGCGCTATCGAGCTCCTCGTATGTAAGTAAGTATACTGCTATGTAAGTATACTGTGTAAATATAAAGCTGGTACCGACGGAAGTTAAGCCCTTCTCTCAAATATTGAAAACCACGAGCGCTCAAAATGTGTCCCATTCAAGAAATGCTTGAATACCACTCAAGCTGCCACACAAAACCCCAATAATTATGTATTAAACTAGTACGTAACCGCGACACAACATGGCAACGAAGTAGGTTATTTATCAAGGGTTTTATTTAAAATAATCCATTCTTTTCTCCATACAACTCTGCCTAATTTTGTACATACGCCGAATTCATCAAAAATATAAATGGAATTTATTATGTGTGTACCACATAAAATTGTTGTTCAAATATTAAAATTAATGGCAACACAGATAATATATGATGGTAAATGTGTTTTTCTTTTTTTTTCTTAATGGCTTCGCACGGCTTGTGCATTTAGCCAATGTCAAGTGTTAAAATGTTTACAAATACTATAGCACTCGTTAAATCAAGTCAAAGTATGTGGCAGTCAAGTCAATCCCCCTTTCCCTATGTTTCAGTAAAAGTGTGGGGATTTACTGGAACCTCCCCGTGGACTTCTTGAGGGAACGTCGAAAAACAATTCTGCTATTTTGTTTCACTTTTCAACACTTGTACATGTTCCCGAACACTTAGTAGTTAATAATCCACCATTATTAGACACTAACATCCGCCACAACACAATTTTTAACAAGAAAAACAAAACTGCTAAAGTGACGCTTCCCGATCCCGCCAAAAATTCCAAAATGTGTTATTAATAACAATGAGTTACGGAAATCACGTGGTTTTTTATGCAATTAATCACAATCAAGGAAATGAATTGAAACCAATAGTATTAGTTGTCAAATGTCAGTTAATAACAAATTGCTTCTTAGTAATAACGTTTCTTTATACACATATTCCCTATTTTAATCAGATTTAGAGATTTTTTTATTATTATTTTTTTTTGAGATAATTTATACCAAGTTATAAAATTGGACAAAAATCGAAGGTCTCCTATCAAATGGACTTACAAATAGAAGCTGTTTATTGAAAAAAAAAATTGAATGAGTGCTGTTCGTCAATGATTTTGAAATCGTATTATTAAATAAAAAGTTCTGCCTAGGTACTACTTAGTTTTAATTTCCCCGCATCATATAAAAAAAGCACCATACAAGCCTTAAGGCCACAACTAGGCATTGATGGACAATTACGTATGTGTGCCTAGGCCCATATTTACACTTTCGTCTATCGATGCCTCTTTTGCTGGCCGCTGCAGTACTGCACTATTATTGTCAAATTGGCGGATGCTAACCACTGCAGATGCAGCCGGGACCAACGGCTTAACGTGCCACCAGCAGTTGGGATAATAATAGGCTGATGATGATGATGATTGTCAAATTATACTATTAATTTGCCCCCAGTCTCGACACTCAAGACGTCGGCGGGCTCATTTTGTCGGACAAATTTCTGCAGTTATCTGCGGTTCTATCCACCAAACACATATTCGGTTTGGGCGAGCGACGCGCCAAGTTCTTGGTCGATATGAACTGGCAGACTTTCGCTTTGTTCAATAGGGACAGGGCGCCTGTGGAACATGTAAGTATTTACGCTGTTTAACTAGTATTTAAGTAGGTATATAGGGTGAAATTGAATGTTTTAATGAAAATTAGTGGGATTGTTGGGTTACGTATGTTTATGTGTATATGTGTATGAACAAGTAATTTTTTAAAAATGATTTAAAATAAAATTGTGAGTTTTTTTGTTAGATATAAGTCCTTTCCTCCTTTTGGGTACTAAATAATTATTCTTTTTAAACACGCATACAGAGTAAGTAAAAAACAAATAATAAGCACTACATAAAAAAACGTAAAAACAGAAAACGGGCGGCCGCGGAGCAATAACCGCTCCCGCCGTTGAATACCTTCCTACCTACCTATGCGCGGTGCAAAGCGCAGTAAGTGAGCGAGCGGGTGCAGTCTCAAGTCAATCCACCGCGCGTGCGTATCTTTTAAATTTGTGACAAAACAAGATTTGCAAATAATGCCTTGATTAGCTCTTGTTCTGTGGCCTCAGTATAAGAAGTTGGATATGGTGTGCTGTTATTGTAGTGTCACGGAATACTCAGCAGAGCCACAAGGCTGTACGAAAGTAGGTTTGGTGATTGATTCTGTTTACAAAGTGTATACGGGAAGTTATAGTGAAAAAAATGAATAGGTACATCGGTCTCGTAAGAACTTTTGATGGTGGTTATAAATTTCATTCTGACCCAAGTATTGAACTGCAATAAGTATTTCTTTTTCTTTAACATTTGCCTATTTCCAATCGTGACAAAATTATTATTAACTTTTTAAGTTTTTCTCTGCTTAAGAGAAGATGACATTTGTGCTTATTATTTCAATAAAGGCATCTAAGACGATTTTATTGTATTGTGTGGAAAGGAGTCAGCTGAGCTCTGTGTACCTACTCACTCAACGGCTGGCGGGCGCCGTCGGTCGTTGACCCGCGGTGATCGCGCTCGCTTAATTTTACTGTTTTTATGTTTTTTAGAAATGCTTATTTATTAGTTGTTTTTCACTGGATATGTAAGTATGCTTGTTTCAAATGAATAACTACTCAAAAGGAGGAAAGGTCATAAAAATACACAAACTATAAATAAATACATGAAAAAAAATACTTCAAAAAAAGCCGAAAAAAATTCAGGCATACTCTATACACGTAACCCAACAATCTCACAAAGTTTCATTAAAACATTAATTTTCACCCTGTATATAGTATATACTAGCGGTCGCCCGCAACTTCGTCCGCGTTAACTTTTAGTTTTTTTTTTCTAAAATAAAAGAATGTTTGTAAAATTAAAGTAGCCTAAGTTACTCTATTACATCAGCTACCTGCCAATAAAAGTCCCGTCAAAATCGGTCCAGCCATTTCAGAGATAAGCCGGAAGAAACAGACAGACAAAAATTGTAAAAAATGTTATTTTGGTGTATGTACCATATATATAATAATAATAATAAAAATCTTTATTGGATAGATACCAGAATACAAATCATAAGGGACCCTGGCTCCTAAAAATATAGGATTAACCTGTGTATTGGGAGCCAGTATCTTCCAAAAAATGACACATTTACTTGGTAATTTCAGACGCGTATAAGACAATGTTTAGTATTTTAAAAATAGAATTAGAAAGTTATTGGGAAAATACATAGTTAGTGTTTCATATTTATCCAGCGTGTGTGTGCGCGTGTGTGTGTGCGTGTGTGTGTGGGTGTGTGTGTGCGTGTGTACGTTTATGTTTGAGTGATGTGTGCGTGTTTGTTTATTATCTCGAGGTACCATAAACAAGACTCTCTACACCTTTATAATCGTATATAGTCATATGCATGTAGTAAAAAGCGGTTATTACAATATTACAAACAGAGACTCCAATTTTATTTATATGTTTAGATGTATAGAAGAGAATTATGCCAGAATCGACACCTATAGGCATAGTGTCGATTCTGGCATGATTCCAACATCAAATTTTACAACAGTATACACTGTTTGTCCTTGTCATTCTCTATCCAGAATGTACAGCCGGCATATTCGCAAACTTTTATGACATTCCCAGTGTGTAACTAAAGAGAAAATATATCCATCGATGCTTTTCAGAACAAGTATCTCAGTTGCGTTTTAATAAAGCGGTAGTGGATAGCTAAATAGCTCGGTGATTATCACTTCTACATGTTAAAAGCAGTTAGCGAATAGGCCTACGGATGAGACTTATGTTAAATTTAGGATTAAGTTTAGAGAATCGTGCCAGAATTAATCGCCACCGCCGACACCGTTAACCGCCTTATTCCAACACGCGGTTTAAAATTAGTCTTGGTTAAAACCTAATGTTGTCTCTGTATTCTTGTTAGCGAACAAAAGTGACAGCTATATTATTTATTTTTTAAGCAAATAACTTCTAGATGTTTAAATCTCCTGAAAACTATACTAGAAAAAATTACACGCGGCCCAGGCAGCGGACATTGTGGGTTACCTACAATGCGAAGAGATGGCGCTGCCTTACAGCCTAAGAAAATTACATTAAAATACAGGCTAGAGAAAATTCGACACGGCCATCAGGGCCGCGATAGCATAATGGTCAATGCATTCGCCCGAATAGCGAAGGGTGCGGGTTCGAGTCCCGTCTGCTGCCTGGTTGGCGTGGTTTTTTCTAGTATAATTTTCTTTAGATTAAAACATCTAGCAGTTATAAATGCTTAAAAAATAAAAACATAATTATAAGACTATATTTTATTTTGACAGTATCAATTTTAGTCCAAGTTTAATTTTATTTTGTAATAAAGCGGTAAATGTCTTTACATCAAATTATTTGAAAACTCCGAACGAAGTAATTAATATAATAATAGTATTGTGACGTGACGGGATGGGGTTCGAAATTGTATGCCAGTTCACGTTGGACAGTTCTTTATTCACCACACAGTTCACACAATTAACACACAATTTCAATTTCAAAACACTCACTAAACACTGTATATTCTGTATTCACTATACAAGTCTCTAAACAATCGCATTTGAACACTTTTGTTGCACTTTGATCGCCTTTGGATTCGGTCCGAAATCGCTGTTGAAACTCAACTGTCTGTGTGCGGCGCCAATCGCTCTTATATACGCCGATCGACGCATTCTAGAAAATACCTGTTAAATAGGCTAGTTGACTCATATCGAATTGTATTAAATAAATGTTTATTTCTTACAGTATTTGGTCTAAGGAACCTAAATATATCGATTTCACTTCATAAAAGCAGAAGATTGCTGTAGAAATTTAATTTTAAAAAATATTTTTTAGTCTATATTTTTTAAACACTAAAAACGCTGTTCGCCACATCCGCCATGATTGTGACGTCTCTTTCAGTAAACAACTAAATGTCATTCGCGTGTTATTGTGGGTGGATTCTTTAGTCTGAATAAATTTATCTTAAAACACTTTTAACTTTAGAAAAGTTTCCGTTTACTTTTTTTTTTTGACAAAACTAATTATGGATGCCGGCTTTGTGAAAGCAGAAAGCACAAATCTGCCAAGAATTGACGCATTGATGGTTGGTGAATTTTTTGCACTAAACCCCCATTTTTGCTCTGCGGAGCAGAGAAACGACAAGGCATCTATGTAAGTACAGTGCATTTAGTATTACAATGTAGTAATAAACATAAAACTGATACAACATATGAATAAGTGTAATAAAGTTGCGTAGGTTAATTTCTTTCGGCACTTTAATCCATAACATTCCTGGAGTCTTCAAGGATGTGTTTTTATATTCTCGTACAATACAATAATGATAATTACTTTATTTTTCGTGGTATTTATTAGAAATCGTGTTCTTTTTATCATAAACTCAGATAAGTTATTTTCTACGTGCTTACGAGTTTTTGTTTACTATAATTGACATCATAGCATAGACAATCTATAGACTAAAATGGCCGACAGCGATTTTGTATGTCCATGAAAATTCTATTTTAAAATTAAAGATTTGTAGCTTTCTAGGTCTCAAAAAAATACAATACATTTTTTTTCGGTCTAATAGAACATTTATTCACCATTTAAAACCTTTTTCCAAAAAGGGTCAACTAGCCTATTGAGAATTAGCTAGCACCCGCGAGTACATAGTACCTACTTATACCTACGCAGGTAACGCGCATAACTTGTAAACAAGTGCAGATGTCGTTGCACTTTCTCCTTTACACCGCACGGCATAAGGCTCATTTTAGAATGAGTCGCATTACTCGACCTCTATCGCGACCCGCGGTGCTCTGGCACATTCGATCTCTACGACTTTTGCGGTTCCGTTTCGAGAGCGTTTGTGACAGTATATAATATAGTTTACAAGCATTCAACTTGCATATACAAGTTTAAATTCCCTATTTCACTACCTTCAGATGTTTTTTACGACAAAAAGTAGTTTTTCTCTAAAGTCTCCTTTATCTGTGCATCAAAATTCATCAAAACTGTGTCTTGCAAGCATATTTTCGTGTTTACGATATAAGTATGGATGGATATAAATATATATCATAATGTTGATACTTTATTCAGTCACTACATTCGTCGGTTTTTAGAGGTCTTTTTTTGGGAAACAAACAATATTTTATTACATTTAGATTAATTAAATATAGAAAATAACATACTTACATCAACAAAGTTTCCACTAACAATTAGTACAGTTATGATGAGTAATAAAATCATATCTACGAATAATAAATAATTAAGTAGAACATTTTTTACTTACTATTTATTTTTTGATATATAATTTTGTATTAACTAACTAATGATATTTTGTCAAATTTCTAATTGATTTTTTTTTGCCTTCAGCAAAACCTGTATGGTACACACCCGTTCTTCCTGGGCGTGGAACCGCAAGGAGACAGTTTTGGCGTTCTCTTACTCAACTCCAACGCTATGGGTAAGTTTTGATTCATTTTTACCCGACTGCACAATGCAAGAGCGTGAAGCGCGACGCGCAGACAGGGTCTAGTGTTTAACAGTCTATATATGTACGGTGGCGGTCAGAAAATGTTTACCAGTGTTGAAATTAAAATAGATTCTATTTTTATAAATATTAACGGGATTGTTACCATGTACCTTGGTTTTATGAGTCTCCGATACGATCTGATACTGTGAGTATTGTGTGCCCGGAACAAATGCGAGTGAATAGTGAGAATGTGACCAGTGGTAGTGGTAGTATCGAACGCAGTAAAAGACGACGTCAGAGGGTAGACCGATATGTCTGGCAATAACATCTACCCGCAATTACTTCAGGTACTCCGTGATCATGGCGCTTGCAACAGTGCCGAAATATCGGAGACTCATAAAATACAAGGTACATGGTAACAATCCCGTTAATATCTATAATGTTAGTGACCATGAAAGTTTAAAACAATTGATTCTATTTCATACTTTTTTCACTTAAGTCTAAAATGCCATATCATGTAACTTATTACCTTTCAAAAGTTATTATGCAATATGACGCATCGAGAATAACAAAAACAATTATATATTACTTTTTGGTATTGAAACTCATTTCTTTATTTGTTGAAATGACATTTTAAAAAAATATGATTGATTGAACATTGTTTGGACATGAGCAAAATTTTACGAATAATATTTTCATAACGAAATAAAATAACAAGTTTGAGCCTGGAGCAAAGGGCTGAAATAATATTTCTATTCGAAGATGGACAAGTATTAATGATATATCACAAGAACTCAATATATCGCGATTCACTGTGAGGTTTTGGATCCGGCGTCACATCGAAGAAGGGCACTTAACAGATCATAGAAATAATTCAGGACGACGACCAATTCTAACCGCCGCGCAAATAACAGAAATGATTCGTCGTTATGAAGAGAACGGTTTCACACCAACTAGTTATTTTGCTGCTTAGTATGATGTGGTGCTCGGACGATCCGACGAGCTTTGCACAGTGCTGGACTACACTACAGACACCATGCTATTAAAGTGGAGCTGAAACCTCACCACAAAATAGCCCGGCTTAACTTTGCGCGACATCATGATTTTGCTTGGTCGAATACTATATTTACCGATGAGAAAACCTTTAAATCAAGCCAAATCGGAAAATTAACTTTATGGCGCTATAATCGAACTCAGGTGCCTCAGAATGAGTTAGGTCGCATAACAGTAAACTTATGAGGATGGATGAGCCTCGACGGCGTCGGAGAACTGGCGTCGTTAGAGAATAGGGCTACTGCCATTAATTATGTGTCGCTTTTGGCAGAAGTGATGCTGCCTACTGTGCGCGTAGTGTATCCTGCAACAGAATTCTCGCACATTACTTATGTGCAAGATAATGCACGGATACATACGGCCCGTGCTACTATGGCGTGGTTCAACATACACCGTGACATTCGTCCCATTCAATGGCCCGCTCGGTCTGCTGATTTAAACCCTATTGAAAATTTATGGGGGCTTATGGTTCAATGCTGGGACTGTCAAAATGAAAGGAACCCTCATGATCTTAGATCACACTGTGCTCGAGTATGGGACGATATTAGAGGGACAGATCTATGCGCGCATCTTGTTGCATCAACGCGAGATAGACTACGTGCCGTCATAGCTGCAGAGGGAGGTTATACTAGATATTAAATAACGATTTTTGAATTTTCTATTTTATTATTTCTTTATATTCTTAGTTAAAAAAACTAAAATATTAGTTTTTCAATGGTTTGAATGTATTTGTTTGACGTCACGGCTAGTGTACTGTGTAGAGGTCGTCGCCTACTGCGCAACGGGTCGCGGGTTAGATTTCCTTACGGTACAGATATTTTGTATGGCCCTACAGAAATTTGTCCTGGTCTGGGCGTATGTGCAATGTGCATGTGAGATTATATGTTTGAATTACACCTACGATAGATACAGTGGGAAATCCTAGTGTGAGGCGAAGTATTTAAAATATATATATATATATACACATATATATATTAGTGATGTAACGAATATTCGCATTCACATTCGCATTCGTAAAATCTCTGCGAATGTTTTGCGAATATGAATATTAGAAAAAAACAATTTAAAGAAGTTGTAGTTCTGCCTTTCCTTGAATATTCATTGTTACACAGTTCGCATTTAGCTCGTTCAGCATCGCAAAGTGTGAAATAAGTCCAAGTTTCACTAACCTCAAAATTCACTTGTTTTGTTTACGGTAAGACCGGTACGAGCGGAATGACACTTCAGTCGGATGAGTTCATATCAACTCGGCAATTCGAACGAGACTGCCACCATGCCATAGACAATTGGCGCCAATTAAAAAAAAACTAAATATTCGCATTCGCGAATGTCGGTACCGGACATTCGCATCCGCATTCGCATTCGCAAAAAGAAAGGAAAATTTAAAAAATCAAAACCTCGACTGCTTTAATATTATTTTAAATAAAAACTGAAAAGAAAACAACAAGTCCAGTAGTTTATAATTCTGTTAAGTAAGGAACAAAGCTACTTTAACAGTCGGGACCCATTAGATATTCAAGATTGCTTAATTTTTTTTCAATAATGGGTCCCGACTGTTAAAGTAGCTTTGTTCCTTACTTAACGTAATTATAGACTACTGGAATCGTTGTTTTCTTTTCAGTTTTTATTTAAAGTAATATTTAAGCAGTCGAGTTTTTGATTTTTTAAATTTTCCTTTTTTTTCTCCGATACTTAGTAGAGTCCGTTATTACACAATCGTTTTTAAAGGACAAGAATATGTATTTTAGTTTTTAAGCATTTAACTACTAGATGTTTAACTCTAAGGAAAATTTTACTATAAAAGTTCCACGCGGACCATACAGCAGACGGGACTCGACCCCTTCGCTTTCCGGGCGAATACACTGACCACTGACCATTACGCTACCGCGGCCCGCGTGTCGAATTTTCTCTAGTATTTCTTAGGCTGCAAAGATAGGCAAAAGTAGTACATAAGATAGTGTTCTCTCTAGACACTTGCGATATATATTAAGTCACAGGGTTCCTACTTTAAGTAACCACAGATTCTTAATCCTATCGATGAGTGAGGTTATCCCAGAACCTCACTCATCGATAGGAAGAATGAAGCGATCCACCTAAATATTGTTTTTTTCTTACTGTAATCTTCTGTAATAAGGAGTTTAATGTAAATTATTTTTCATCTCAATGGTGCCATGGTAGTTTTTGACACATTTTTTCCTATTAAATAATCAAATATATTTGAAGTGTGTTGTGTTTTCTTAATAAGAACGAACATTTTGTGTATTGCGTAAATAATCTTAGTTTGAGTTGCACCGCAGAGCTAGTTAAAGTAAATTTTTACTAAAATTTTAACTGGCTTCACGTTAGTAAAAAGTTAAAGTTGAAAAAAAGACCTTGGAATGGAATAATTCTTTGTACTTTTGTAAAAATGAATGTTATGCCTAAATCGTACTTTGTCATATAATGAACACGTTGGGGTCACATAGTGGTGGTAATGCAACCAGCGCTGGGCGTCAGCACCTCGAAAATTCTGTGCTTTGAGCACAGAATTTCTCCTTTATTACACCTTACCCATTACCTAACCTAACGTACCCTACGTCTCCATTGAGCTGAACTGAAATCAACATAAACCTGAAAACTACGATTATTACGTTAACATTATCCAAACCAAGGCTCAGCACGAGAAACCTGGGCTAAAAACAAATGATAAGTCGACAAAAAATAACAAGTGTATAACACGATGCGGTTACGCAGACGTGGTGACGCAGCCCGCGCCGGGCGTGACGTTCCGCGCCGTGGGCGGGGTGCTGACGTTGCTCGTGACGCTGGGCGGCGGGCCCGCGCACGTGGCGGCGCAGCACGCGCGCTTGGTGGGCCCCACCTTCATGCCGCCCTACTGGGCGCTCGGCTTCCACCTGTGCAAGTGAGTGTAGTACGCGCACGTGGCGGCGCAGCACGCGCGCCTGGTGGGCCCACCTTCATGCCGCCCTACTGGGCGCTCGGCTTCCACCTGTGCAAGTGAGTGTAGTCCGTCCCTCCCCCGGCTGTACCTATAGCGCGGTCCGGCGCCGGGCGTATGTTCCACGCCGTGGGCGGGGTGCTGACGTTGCTCGTGACGCTGGGCGACGGGCCCGCGCACGTGGCGGCGCAGCACGCGCGCCTTGTGGGCCCCACCTTCACGCCGCCCTACTGGGCGCTCGGCTTCCACCTGTGCAAGTGAGTGTAGTCCGTCCCTCCCCCGGCTGTACCTATAGCGCGGTCCGGCGCCGGGCGTATGTTCCACGCCGTGGGCGGGGTGCTGACGTTGCTCGTGACGCTGGGCGACGGGCCCGCGCACGTGGCGGCGCAGCACGCGCGCCTTGTGGGCCCCACCTTCACGCCGCCCTACTGGGCGCTCGGCTTCCACCTGTGCAAGTGAGTGTAGTCCGTCCCTCCCCCGGCTGTACCTATAGCGCGGTCCGGCGCCGGGCGTATGTTCCACGCCGTGGGCGGGGTGCTGACGTTGCTCGTGACGCTGGGTGGCGAGCCCGCGCACGTTGCGGCGCATCACGCAGCATGAACCATGATAGCCTAGATAACTGAAATTTTACTAGATGATGCATTTCTGTTGCCGCTACAACAACAAATACTAAAAACGGAACAAAATAAATATTTAAGGGGCGCTCACATACAACAGACGTTATTTTTAGCCGTTTTTTATTCAGTATTATGATACAGTGTCTAATTTTGTATAGATGATAGTACGGAAGCCTTTGTTCGCGAATCCGACTCGTTTTTTTTTGTTAGCGCAGGCAAAGCGTAGTTAGAGAACTACAGACACTGGCGCAATTAAATTTAAAAATTGATATAGGTGAATAAGCTTAATACCACAAAGGATGAAAAGCGCCACAATGGACGTAACGAGAATTGAAAATTGTCCATACAAAACTTCTTGACATGTCTGTCCATTTTCGCGCGCAAATTTAAACTGCAGTGTGCAGCAGTGTGAAACTAATTCTTTTGCAATAAATTATTTTTTGATCTACTTGTGGTCTATTCTAATTGAAAGCAAAAATAAAAATATCGGATGTTGTTGCCTCTTAGTCACATATAAGGAAAAATAAAACTTCTCTAAAATAATGATTTATGACTAATATACTTTTAAAACGAAATAATTAAAATCAAATATTTTTACAGGTTCAATTACATGTCATTAAACACGACTCGCGAGGTTTGGAAGAAAAACAGAGATGCCGGCATACCCTTTGTAAGTGTATTACTTTATACACAAAGTATTTTACATAGGCTGTTAATTTTGTTTGTTTGATAAATGATATTGTTAATTACTGAAATATCCTCACGATTTGCATCCTCCTTTATCAAGCGTACCGCTAGGGATTGGAACTCCATATCTTGAGATGCTGTTTAGTATGAAAACAGTATCTCAAGATTGTAGTCTCCTCACGAGTTCCATCCTCCTTTATCAAGCGTACCGCTAGGGAATGGAACTCCATATCTTGAGATGCTGTTTAGTATGAAAACAGTATCTCAAGATCGTGGTCTCCTCTCGAGTTCCATCCTCCTTTATCAAGCGTACCGCTAGAGAATGGAACTCCATATCTTGAGATGCTGTTTAGTATGAAAACAGTATCTCAAGATCGTAGTCTGCTCACGACTTCCATCCTCCTTTATCAAGCGTACCGCTAGGGAATGGAACTCCATATCTTGAGATGCTGTTTAGTATGAAAACAGTATCTCAAGATCGTAGTCTCCTCACGACTTCCATCTTCCTTTATCAAGCGTACCGCTAGGGAATGGAACTCCATATCTTGAGATGCTGTTTAGTATGAAAACAGTATCTCAAGATCGTAGTCTCCTCACGAGTTCCATCCTCATTTATCAAGCGTACCGCTAGGGAATGGAACTCCATATCTTGAGATGCTGTTTAGTATGAAAACAGTATCTCAAGATCGTAGTCTCCTCACGAGTTCCATCCTCCTTTATCAAGCGTACCGCTAGGGAATGGAACTCCGTATCTTGAGATGCTGTTTAGTATGAAAACAGTATCTCAAAATCGTAGTCTCCGAGTTGAGAGAGATCTATTAATACGGGCCTTAGACCACATCGCTGCTTAACATCAGGTGCGAAAGTGGTAAAACGCACTAAAAAAAGTCATATCATAAGAAGCAAACAGAACAGCTTTGAGCTTACCCAACCTAGTGCTAGTTCATACAAAAAGCATTCCTCGCTTAAATGACACGTTTAGATGATTTATTGTTTTAAATTTTCATGGTCACTAACATTATAGTAATATAAGTTATGTACGGGATTGCTACCATGTACCTTGTTACTCCGTGATCATGGTGCTTGCAACAGTGCCGTAATATCGGAAACTCGCTAAAAACAAGGTACATGGTAACAATCCCGTAAATAACTTATATTACTATAAATTTAGATGATTGTTATGTTAGTTTCTGAAATGTTGATTATGAAAATATTTAACCACCGTGCTGTTTGATGGGTAAATAATGTATGTCTACTGTACAAATAAATTAATAGAAGACATGGCGACGTTAGAAAGAAAGAAAGAAATTATTTATTGACCCTTTGAACTTCACAAATAAAAAGCATAAATAAAAAACAGAATAAGGTCAACTAGGTCCCTGCCTCAACACAATGCCACAACAACACCAAGGTCGATGCGGCGCTGATATTCTGGCAGGGCAATCGGTACGTTAGCAACTTATTGAAGTTATTTTTCAACTTGACGAATGACATGGAGAAAAAATAGCCCTAGCTGAATTCCTTGCTGGTTCTGTTCAGTACAAAGTCTCCCGCCGTAATTTTGCGAACCGATGGCGTAGCTTCTCGACCCTCACAAGAGCTTTTAACAGCCTATGCTGAATACATTGTTTTTGGGTTTCAAATAGAAGCCGTTTGCCCATCATATCCCGAGCAAAAATAAATAAGAAAAAACAATAAATAAATATATTTTTACGTTATTATGCGTTCAGGACGTACAATGGAACGATATAGACTACATGAAGAACCGTAACGACTTCACCTACGATGAGGAGAACTTCGCCGGCCTCCCGGCCTTCGTTGATGAGCTGCATAAGGAAGGCATGCACTACATGATCATTATTGGTGAGCACATTTAGAAATATTTTGATTAAAACATGAAACAACTCGTTTGAATAGTCCACCATTTTTTCGTACCCCCCCCAGTTCAGAACTTTTGAGAATATACCATTTTGTGATTCACTAAACCGTAGCAGATTACATAATAATAACACAGCGCGCATCGTCAGGCGGTTTCTTTCACTGCGGCCCTAACCAACGGTAGCTTGGGCCTAGCTCCGCTTCTGGTGGCCTTCTAGGTTAGGTTTTTTATACTATATTTATTTTTGTATTTACGTTGTTGTATCTTACTTTTATATCTATTTTATAAAAAACCTAACTGTGAAATAAAATAAATGAGAGAATAATAATAATGTTTTATTTCAGATCTAGATCCATAGAAATGTTAGTAACAATCAAACCTTAAAAACTATGTTAGTAAATTTTAGAGCATAAATTATTTTATCTAATATATAAAATTCTCGTGTCGCGGTTTTTGTGGTTAAACTCCTCCGAAACGGCTTTCCCGATTATCATGAAATTTTGTGTGCATATTGGGTAGGACTGAGAATCGGACAACATCTATTTTTCATCCCCCTAAATGTTAAGGGTAATCCACCCCTAAATTTTTTTCTTTCAATGTGATATTTATATTTTTTAATTTTTTTATGATACAGCATTAGTAAATACATACTATCCTAAATTTTCACCCTTCTACCACCAACCCCTATTTTTTTATGGCGGTACGAAGTTCGCTGGGTCAGCTAGTATATATATACCCTGTGAGGCACCGGTCACATGAACGTGTATATGTACCCAGTGCCTCAGAATGGCACACTCCTCATTTTACCCGATAACATCGAGGATGCTGTTGGCGCTGTCACGAATCCTGTGCCTCAACGATGCAATTTTCTTGCGCATCACTGAAGGGAAGTCGTCTAAGTGGGCATCTGCGAACATACCCGATGCACTGCAGTAGCGTGGGAGCCCCAACAACATCCTCAACCCATTATTATATTGGACACGGATAGCGTTGTATGTTCGCTGCGTATATCTGACCAACGCTCTCCGTGCTCTCTCAATATCTGAGTCATCTTTCAAGTCCTAAGTCTTTTCAAGTTTCTTTCCTATATAAGGGGGCCAACTTTTATGTAGGGTCGATCATGGAGACTTTTTTTCTTTTTAGCATCCAACCTTCACAATCCATTAGTTCCGGTTCCATTAGCCTCTGGGAATCCCCTTCTATTAGTGTATGAACAGCAAAGTGAACATCTAGTGTATAATCATATGTTTGCATCGAAGTGAAATCTATAAGAAATTTCATAGACCTCGTTAATTAATTTTTAGTGTGTCGAAATCTGCGCCTTGAACTGTTGATTTGATTAAACAAAAACAGACACGCGTAACAAACGTTTCGTTATTAAAGCTGTACCCTCAGCTTGTGCTATTGGTTTGTACTAATATCGAATTCAAATAGTTGAATTCGATCTCGTTACGCGTCAAATGTCAAAAAGTTTTGTGTGAAAATTTCACAACAGCGCCCCAACGGACGTAAAGAGAATTAAAAATCTGCCATACAAAATTTCTTGACATTCGACGCGTATCGAGATCGAATTCAACTTTTCGAATTCGTTAGTACTAAGGGTCGTGTGCCCGTAGCACGAACAAATATCGAATTCGAATAGTTTGCGAGTACGAAATGTCATTGTCAATGTGTATTGATTTTTAGTTCTCGTTACGTACTTTGTGGCGCTGCTGTTCAAGTTTCCATACAAAATTTGACATTGACATTTCGCACTCACAAACTATTCGAATTCGATAATGTTTCGTACGAGAGGTACTGATCCATGGGATGGCTTCGTCGCTCCACTCCAAAGATAATGATTGACGCTTCATTTCATAGATCCTGGTGTAAGTGCGTCGGAAAAAGTCGGCACTTACCCGCCATACGATCGCGGCATCGAGATGAATGTGTTCGTCAAGAACGCCACTGATCAACCCTTCATTGGGAAAGTATGGGTTTTGTTTTACCACCTTTGTCATATTTAAATAAATAAATATTTCCAACTGTCACACCAATAGGGGTGATGACGGGGTAGAGTAAACGAAATTCTATTTAGTCCGTCAGTTAGATGATCAAAAAATAATGGACACGTATTTTTTCTTTGGGCAATCAACCAAAAAATGACAAAGTTATAACGCGTTAAAGTTTGGGAGTAGGGGCTCGTGACGTCACTTTTAAGTGAAAATTGTGCCAAAACGTGACGTCATGCGACTTTTCAAATCAATATATCTCTGCAATGTTTATATTATGTGAAAAAAGAAAAAATACGTGTCCAATACTTTTTGATAATAATCTACCTGATAAACGAAGGAAAAAAAATAGTCATCATCCCTATTAGACTAGCCCCAAAATAAGCACTGTAAGGCTTGTGTTAATTTCTCATAATACTACTGATGAATAATGCTGGAAGCATTATTCAGCTCACACTAAGTTTTCACTTCCTAAAATACCTTTCATCATCAGCCTATTAATGTCCCCACTGCTGGGGCACAGGCCTTCCCTATGGATGGAATAGGAAGATTGGGCCATGACCCCACCACACGGACCAGTGCAGATTGGCGCGTGCTAACGACTGCAGATGCAGCCGGGACCAACGGCTTAACGTGCCTTCCGAAGCACAGAGGAACTCGAGATAGAATATTTGGTCACCCATCCAATGACCGACCACTGCGAAAGTTATAAGCTTAACTTCAACGATCGCAGCCGAACACGCTAACCACCTGCGCCATCGAGCTCCTCGGCGCCAAACTACTGTAATCAAATGAATTTATTACAGTAAACCTTTTATTACATACTACAAATTTATTCGTTAATTTTTAGCAAGTCGCATTGCATTTTTAAATGTTATTAAAAATTCAAAGCTGATCGTCCAGCGTCGGTGGCTCAGTGGTAGAAAGCTTGACTGCCACGCGGGCGGCCCCGGTTCGATTCCCAGACGAGACAAGACTTTTTTATATTAATGACTATTGGCTCGCCCTCGCTTCGCTTAGGTGTAAAGCTGTAGTGTAGACTATAGGCTTTTCTCTCAGCCTTGTATTATACACAATGACATTTTTCTATTACCTAACTACAATAGGCACACGCCAGTTTTTTGTAATTATAGTAATAAGACCTTTCGGCTTTATCTGTAATAAGAATACATACAATTAAATATATTCCATAACTTTACAATACAGTGACTTTAAAGTTTAACAAATTGTATGTGCAGGCAAGTTTGTTTAGACGATACAAAATAAATAATTAAGACATGTTTAATTAGTTTGATGGGGAAAATGTTTATTTTGTATTTTTTCCAAGACAGGTGAGATTCAAAAAGTTGTACCTTGTACTGGAAACGTGTTTTTATATTTGTTTATTGACTAATGTAATTGAAATCCAGGTATGGAACACGGAAACCACTGTGTTCCCAGACTTCACCCATCCCAACGCTACGCAGTACTGGCTCGACATGATGACCGATTTCCACAAGAAAGTCAAGTACGACGGAGCTTGGATCGTGAGTTTATTACTAAATATTGTACCGTTCGAAGATTTCGAATCGTTTGCAAGTACGAAATGTCATCGTCAAACGTGTACGGCATTTTAGTTTTCATACAAAATTTGACAATGATATTTCGTTTTAAATATATTTGGCCCAAAATTCTGTGGCAATATTGTCAAGTTTTTTTTTGTTGTTAAAAGGATGGAAAAGAAGCAACCCCCCAAGAACAGTGCTTCTTAACCGGAATCACAGGAAGTGATCCGCGAAGTAAACGAGCGAAAAAAACTCCACAAGCCTTAACTGAATAAATAATTTTGATTATGTTTTCATAATAATCATGTCTTCTTCGTTCAGGATATGAACGAACCATCCAACATGCTGGACGGCATAAAGGAGGGGCAGTGCGCGGACGAAAGGTTCCCGTACATGCCTCACACGGGCGACGCGCTACTGCGCACCCACACCATATGTATGGACGCGAAGCAATACGCGGGAGAGCATTATGACCTACACAATCTGTACGGGTTATACGAAGCCGTCGCTACTAACTTGTGAGTAATATCGACTTTGTTGACAACGGTTCCTCTCGGCTCGTATAAATGTAAAGAGCTCATTCGTGAGTGGCTACTTAGTCTGGATTGAATGAGGTAGAAAACTTAATGAAGTAAGTAATAGAGCCTTACATAAGGAATACACACTCACATACACACACACATGCATGAATTTCTGTTAACATAGTTTAGTATTTGCTTAAGTTAATCGAATTTGATTGAATATATATATAAAAAGTACTTTGTCAATACAATATGTATGTCTGAAACGCCCGTCTGTTCAGAGGTGGACGCTAACATCTGCGACACAGTCTTCGACTACTGCGGATGTTAACGCAAACAGTGTTTATGTACAAATGTTTTGTGTTTCAATAAAGATTTATTATTATTATAACTGGAATCATGGAGGTTAGAGAGAAGGAGAAAGATCGTTACGTGCTAAATCCCATTAGCCCGCCTGTCCCTGAAAATTTGTAGAATTTATAGTTCATTTTTCAGCCACCAGCCGCGCTGCCGTCGGTAAGTAGTATCTGTGAAGATAGCTGTTTATGAGTACAAGTAGATGAAGTTAATTGAATAATGTACAAATTTTCTTCGCGGCATTAGTCATTTCAAATTAGCGCACAACAGCCCGCTTTTATTGAGACAACTTAGCGATTGCAGCGCCTCAGTGATTTTGTCCATATTTCTGGCACACTATTTTCTACAGCGATCGTTCTCTTGTTCCTTAACCTCAATGGCTCAAATGGTAAATACAATGTGACTATGATATTGGAACTGATTTTGGGACGGTATAAAAAGTGTTTAATTTATAGAGAAAGGTGTAAATAAGCCTTTTATATTTTTATTACTCTTTCCGAGTTATTGTAAATTATGACGTGAGGAGATTTTACGTACTTAATAATCCGAATTTCATCAGTTACTATCCTGCAGCACCCTGTCAATGTCATCTAAGTGCCACAAAATCTCGGCCGCACTGTAGATGTATTCTTTTTTTTTCTATAGGTTTTTAGATACATTGTTTCTAGTCCAATAAGAGTAGGTAAGTAGGTTTAAGAAATTTATAGCCTCATCTGTTATTTGATGATGATAAACAGTTTAATGTAAGGTAATATTTTGCAAATAACAAACAAAATCAGACAGCTATATTGTAAAAAATTGGTGGTGAAACAACCTGCAAGATGATGCAAGCGAAACTTTTAAAGTCATTCATAAATAAAAGTTCACCCTCGGCTAGGATTCGAACCCGGGTCGCCCGCGTAGAAAGCAATCTTTCTGCCAATGAAACACCGATGCTTATTTATTGATAAGGTCTGAATTTTTAAAAACTATAAAACATATAATGCGACATCTACAAAATGAACGAAAAAAAAATGTAGCGATAAAATAAAAGTTCCACTTTAAAAATATTAACTTTTGTAAAACTTTCTCCTTCATTACTTATGAAAGTCGAGTATTAGTCAAAAATTATTATTTTTGTTATATATTCAATCTTAACCCGAATGCAAAACACATTTTCTCTTATTATAATCGTTTTTAACATTCGTTTTGATACAATGCTGCTTCTTTATGGTAATTTGAAATCCGTCCAGTTAAAAAAGTTCTTATTTTCGTTTCGATACTAATTAAACAGCCTTCTTTTTAATATCATTATTCGTTTCTAAATTAAAATAAAATTTTAAAAGAGCTTGCGTTGAAGCTGGTAAAAATATAAAATGGTGATAGGTTGTAAAATCCGATGCAAAGTGAGTAAATTACGTGGCTATGTAGAAATCAGAATTGACAATTAAAAATAAATGTTAAGTTGGCATTGTAGAAAAGAGGAATTACTTGATTCGAAGTAAACTCATTTTCCCTTTGCTTACAAAAAGAAAAGTGGGACCACGTGGCCGAACAAAAATTCTAAGGCTCGACTTACTTCGACGACCTCCGTGGCCGAGTGGTTTGTACCCCGGGTTTCATAGTGTCACCGACTCGAGAGGTCCCAGGTTCGAATCCCGGTGGGGGCAGATGTTTGTGTGATGAATACGAGCATTTGTACTCCAGTTATGGATGTTTAATATGTATTTCTATATAAATATACTTATATATGTACAGTATGTATATTCTATCCGTTACCCTAGCATCCCATAACACAAGCCTTACTTTGGGGCTAGGCGAAATAAATAAATATTTCCAACACTGAGTGTTTTGTTTATTTACTATTTGACCCCGCCTACTTCGTACGTTTTAAAATAATTTGAAAGAAATGACGGACTCGAGTCTACCGTACCGAAAGGGACAAACGTCAAATGTTTGACAGGAAAGAAGATAGAAGAGTTTATATGGGAAAATTTAATTGACGTTTTTACTTTCTTCCTCTCAATTTTTCCAAATATTCCCTTTTTAAACCTTCCCTAGACCTCCACGAACATTTCAAGACCAAGATAAGATAAATCCGTTTAGCTGTTCTCGAGTTTTAGCGAGACTAACGAACAGCAATTGATTTTTACATAATACTAGCTGACCCAGCGAACTTCGTACCGCCATAAAAAAATTTAATTAAAAAAACATTGTCCAGCGGACAAAATTGTGAATCTAAACCATTCTCAGATCCCCTTGAACACACACAAAAAATTTCATCAAAATCGGTCCAGTCGTTTAAGAGAAGTTCAGTGACATACACACTCACAGAAGAATTATATATATAAAGATAGCCCCTACAATGTCTCTTTTCGTTTGTCCAGTGCTCTAAGCGACATCCGAGGCAAGCGTCCGTTCGTTATATCTCGCTCCACGTTCCTCGGCTCGGGCAAGTTTACCGGCCACTGGAGCGGCGACATCGACAGTACGTGGCACGATATGCGCATGACCATACCCGGTGAGATACAAATAAGTACTTTATTTATAAAAAAATAAATAAAACCTACTACGAAAGGAATAAGCCATTTATTTGAACATTATCTTCTAAAATCAAATCAAATAGCGCGCGCTTTCGCGACTTCCTGTTACACACTTCCGTCCCATTTCATGAAATCACTCCCATAAATTGCAGGAAAGCGAGAGGAAAGATGTTACACATCATTAATTATAATCTACTAGCTGTGCCCCGCGGTGTTACCCGCGGTTTATTAGGGAAAATAAATTCATCGATTTTCCCACGGGAATAAGATATTTTCACACAGTAAAATGTAGCCTATGTATTAATCGAGCGAGGGTGTCAGCTAACTCCATACCATATTTAATTTATATCGCTCCAGCCGTTTAGACGTGAAGAAGTTCACAAACTTTCACCTTTCTAATATTAGTGTCATATAACTACTACTTTGCATGGAATAGACGATTTTAGATACAAACTTTCATCCGTCATTTCAACCCCTATTTGTTTTGTTTGCGGTTTAAAAATTACCATGTGACGTTTTCCAATGGGCGTGGTTTACAGTTGCTCCTACTGGTAGAAATGACGCGACGTTCCGGTGCATCCAGAACTTCTTATTGTCTTGTCAGAACAGTAACAAATGTATATCATTAGTTTATGTACATATGGTTTGAACTTCTATATGTATAGATATTTCCGGACACATCGATTGGTCCACTTTGTGTTATAAGTTCCAACGGTCTGTAGCAAAAATATAATTAAGTTAGGTTGAGCAATAATAATATATTTTAAAAACACACGCAAAAAAGACGGTTAATAAATCGGCTTTAAACTGCATAAAACTTTTTGCTCAATATAACATTTAATTTTAGCTAGGGATAGTCAAAACCTAATAAGCCAAAACTTAAAATGTTAGGTGGACCCATAGATGTGTCCGGGAGTATATAATCAACATAGCTCATTAGACGTAAAGTTTAAATCGCTTACACAGTGATTTTATCGCGCGTGATCAACGATATTAAATACCATAGATACACCACGTGCGCTCAAAATGTGTCTCTATCAAGAAGTGCTTGAACACACTTGACTCAAGCACTTCGTGACACACAACACACATATTTGTGATATTCAAATGCATGGCCGATAATATAGCCGTCTCTTTTCCTCACAGTCCGTACTTGCTATATTGCTAACAGCGCATTCAGAATTGCGCGTAGAATCAAATTAATAAGGTCTATATTATTCCGCATATAGCAATAAGTCCTAAAACTTAAGAGCTTAGATCTCAGACTGTCATAGCTCGTTGATGCATGCGTTTTAATAAAGACCTAATACAGTGTGCTTTAAATGTGATTTTCAATGTTTAAATAATGCCTTATATTGTTTAGACTACCCGATCATCTTACGAAGCTCCGTGGATTGTCCAATGTACCTTTTGGACAGGTTTCGGACATGATTTTGTTCGTGTTGGTGTATCTAGGGTATATTATATCGTTGCGCGTGATACGTTCACTAACCCGAGGTTCGTATTATTATGTTCAGAGTTGCTGAACTTCAACCTTTTCGGCATTCCGATGATGGGTGCGGATATATGCGGGTTCCGTGGGAACACGACGTTGGAACTGTGCAAGCGGTGGATGCAGCTCGGTGCCTTCTACCCCTTCTCTAGAAACCACAATTCTGATACCTCCAGCGTGAGTACTATATATAAGAAGAGGCTCATATATGCGGGAACACCACGCTGGAACTATGCAAGCGGTGGATGCAACTCGGTGCCTTCTACCCCTTCTCTAGGAACCACAACTCTGATACCTCCAGCGTGAGTACTATATATAAGAAGAGGCTCATATATGCGGGAACACGATGCTAGAACTGTGCAAGCGGTGGATGCAGCTCGGCACCTTTGTATTTGCTATTTGTCAATTTGACAGCAGGTTGTTCTTATCATACTTTAAAGGGAGTGAAAAGGAGAGACTGTTGTCAAGTTTACGAATAACCAAGTGAAGTGTCAGCATTAGAAACAATTGTTATTTTGAACATATCAACAAAAATATCCAGACAACTTATAATTCTAAATGGACTATATTTTACTTGTTGGTTATTGAAACTGGTCGTATATCGCTACGTGTTTGACTAATATCATCATCATCAGCCTATTAATGTCCCCACTGCTGGGGCACAGGCCATCCCTATGCATGGAATAGGGAGATAGGGCCATGACCCACCGCGCGGGCCCAGTGCGGATTGGCGGGTGCTAACGACTGCAGATGCAGCCGGGACTAATGGCTTAACGTGCCTTCCGAAGCACGAAGGAACTCGAGATAGAAGATTTTTGGTCACCCATCCAATCCAATCGAGCTCCTCTAATATATATTTATTATATTTGCTAAGACCTCGTCACACGTAAACGGTATATTTTTTTTTGGATTTTTTAAACATTTAACTGCTAGATGTTTAGATTTAAAGAAAATTTTACTAGAAAAAAAAATCTTTAGGTATAATTTTTTATTTCAATTAGTTTGCGTAAAATGCTCGGTTTCCGGCAGGAAAAACTATTTTAACTTGTTAATATAGTGTTCATCGTCATGTATTAATAGATTAATTAATGTTATCCTTAATTACTGTCATGGTCAATAAAAGCTTTATATTTGCTTCTTCTCAAATAGCCCCAAGACCCGGTGAGCTTAGGGCCGGAAGTGGTATCCGCCAGTCGCTCTGCCCTCAGGCTGCGCTACAGATTGCTGCCCTACTACTATACGTTGTTCTACAGAGCGCATCTGTTCGGCGAGTCAGTAGTAACGCCTCTGTTCTACGAGTGAGTATAGCTGTTATATAATAATTTATTACGTGTCAGAATGGAGTTCGAAATCACCATGCCAGTTCACGTTTAACAGTTCTTTAAACACAAAGTTTTAGGGCAAATACATAATATCATTACAAATATGGGCTGCACGATGGTGACGTCTCTCTCCTTGGGCGTGAGGGTAGTTAGAAACATCTCTGCCCACCCTAGAATACAAGATTTTAAAGAGGTTTTTATGAGTCGAACTTGAAGAAAGTTTATACACATTTAGAGTTGTTTTTGTTTGTGTGTCCGCTAGTATTGAAAAACAATGTTAGATCAACTCGACAGCTGCCATCCCCTCCGAACCGAAAATTATATTCATAAATTGTGATTCCAATGTAAAAATAATAGTACTTCTTTCATAGGTCCATATCTATTTGTATACCTTAATTAAGGTGGAAATGTAGTGATACTAACAAAAATTATATATACCATGTATACTAACCTATGTTTCACAAATAAAATTCTGATTCTGAACTATGAAAAATAGATCCTAGCTACGCCTATGTCTCTCTGATACTTTTTTTACTCAGTTGAATAGGAGTCGCTCAATCCATTATCCACATCCTTGGATTTTGCGTAGGGTACTCGACTTACTGTATAGTGCAATTTAAAGTTTAAAGCAAGCAAGCATGTGGTTACTCGATTATACGACGAACTAAATATTAATAATGTAGTATGTAGTAATTACTTAGCAGTGGCGGTCTTAGGGGGTGGCGAACAGGGCAATCGCCCGGGGCCTCGCTCCTACAGGGGCCTCGCGCAACAACCCAAGCAAATTTTAAAAATATAAAAAAAAAACTATTTTTTCAATGACACAAGATCGGCTTTCAGCCCTCGCTATTCTTTCAATCGAAAATGACGTAGCTTATTCGTTAGATTATTGTGCTTTAATTAAAGATTTTAGTCTTAGGAAAAGCCGCAAACATCAATTTTAAAATTTATCATCTCTGTATTTGTTAATTTTGTGAATCTTTCAATGTAAAATATTTTAAAATTCAAAGGACATTGTTCTGCGTCCAAACATAGTTCGCCTAAGAACCAACAATCATGAAATATTATTTTCTAGGTCATCATCGAAATGCGAAATCGCAAGTAAATGACTGTAAAAACAAAGATTATTGACGGACACTTCTGAGAACTTAAATTAGGAAAACTATATTTTTTTTGAGGTTATGTTTAATATTCAATGAAACATAGGGCAACTTATTTACCAAGATTTTTAATAAAGATTTTTCATTTCATTTCAACCTATGAACTAAGTATGAACTCAGTATGAAGTGAATTAATATTATAACTAATTCATTTTATTCGGTGCGATTTTAAAGAATAACTATTAGGAAAAACTTGGTTAGGTAGGAATCTTGAATAAAATAAAAACTGTAATTTTGCTTTTTATTATTTATTGGCTATTTTTCACATAATTGTATCATATTATTTATTGTATTTATTTGTTTAACACATGTATATTGTGTAAATATGCAGCGTGATTGTGTATAAGGTGCTCTTGAATAATTTGGCAGTATGATCCTCTCAGGATGTTGTAGCACAGGTTCACTAGCACTTGGTAAAAAGGTCTCTGCACTTTGGTAACATCGATGGCATATTAGATAGCCGAAATAGTAATAGTTAAATTAAAGGAAAAACAATCGCAAATAAACACACACAACAGGTAATCCGAAACGAGAATTTTCCGTATATAAAAAGTACACTTTGACGAGAATGCACGAATGAATGCCACAGATTACTACGAATGCAAAGTACCTGCATCACAACCACTGAGTATCGAGTTTATGCCGGCTCTTCACTTGACAACAGTTTGTCCTTGTCATGCTTAATAAGGAATGAAAAGGACAGACTGATGTCATGTTTTTTAAATAGCAAATACGAATAGCCAAGTGAAGTGCCGGCATTAGGAATAAAGAGTGTTTTGTTTGCAGCGCTGTCATAGATTATACACATGAAATGGTATTTATTGTCTCAGATTATTTATTAACTTTTTAATTTAGCTTACTTAACTGGAAGTGTCCGTCACAATCTAAATACTGATAATTATCGCAAAAAATATACTAAGAATTATCATAAATGCCAAATTGGTGTTGGTTTTTAGGCCAATTTTACCATTGTCCTTTGATTTATTTGTATAATTTAAGCATTTTTCCTTAAACATGACAAATACCTAAACCAAACAACCAGACCTACTTTCGCATCACATACTTTTCACGAAGGACAAAGGGCCTCGCAAAGACCTGCCGCCCGGAGCCTCGCAATCGGTAAGGCCGCCTCTGTTACTTAGTTGAAATTTATAAATATCATATACTGTATTAAATACTTACTATACATATTTGTTTTCAATGAATTTCTAGTTACTTGCCGAGTTTGAACAAAATTGCATGTATATTTTTAGAGTTATAGAAGAATAAACTTTTAAATCGCTCTCCAGACTATACTGTGATTTTCACATAGGGGATTATATGTAGGAGTCGTCAATATATAGTACGATAAGAACTTAATGGCGAAATGTAGCACACTCGGAGTTTCATTGTTCTCAACCTACATAAATTTTAAAACTTACAGTACCGTGTACTTTGTACGTATATGCAACAGTGCCACAATATCCATATGGACATTCCTTATTATGCGAATCTGCATGGAGGTTTACTACTGAAAGGGGCCTTGGCTTGTCAGGGCCGTAGCCATAGTTGCATTTGGGATAGAGCAGTGGTGATTATAAATAGGGCATAAACAGGATTTGCTGTAAAGAATTAGTAAGTCAAATGTCGATGTTTTTTTTTATAAAGTACGGCATTGCCCAGTTATGCCGCACCCCCGCGCCCTTGGCTACAGCCCTGGTAGTTGTATACTAGTTTCAATTATCAACCTTCAGTAAAAGGTATAGATAACCTGTAATTTTTGTTATTAGCGCAATTGCTACCGTGTACTTTGTACGTACTTGTAACAGTGCTAAAACATCGGGGGCAACCTTGCCCCTTGTATAGTACTTATTGGGAAGCAAAAAACAATTCGCGTCCAAATCTTTAATCTTTTGAATAGAAGCTGCTAAAGGGTTCACGAAACGTTTCGGAGGACGGGTAAAATCTTGATCTGTCGGTTTGCATGGTGTGAACGTCGTACAAATATAGGAAAAAAAAGCGAGCGCGTCAGACATTAAGAAGGGATTTTACATTACAACTCTCTAGAACCATTTGGGCGCGATTAATTCAAGGCCGTTTGTTGCCATATTTTTTCTGCCGCACTCGACTATCTGCTCTGCGTAGTGGGATCAGGTAAGGGGGGGAGCACTTCACAAGGTCCAAGCTCACCCCCCTTAGGGGCCGTTCAAGTATTACGTAAGCACTATAGGGGGGCAGGGGGGTCTTTGCTTTGCTTATTTTTGATGACATGGGGGGGGGGGGGGGGGGTAAATAATTGTAATAAATCTGCATACGTAATACTTCAAAGGCCCCTAACTCCCTGCATATAAAAAAAAATCATTATTGCAGTAACACAAAGAACGTGTCACTGTACGATGTAGACGACAAGTACCCTTAGCACGAACCTATATGATTTGTGTATAGTGTGTTATATGCTATCGCGGACTTTTTTATTGAACTTTTAAAAGAGGAACAATTCCTTCGTACATGATTTTTGTGTATCATTTACGTAGCGAACGCAAATCTACCAAATTGAATATTTTTATCCGTTTTTTCAACATTCTACATGGATACTCCGCTTCTACTGGTCGCAGCGTAATATCATATAGCCTTAAGCCCAGTGGCGTAGCATAGGTCACTAGCACCCGGTGCGGATTCCAAATTTGCCGCCCTCTTATTTTTGCAATCCATTATAAAAAAATTGAGGCATGGTAAAAAGAGTACTTTTATTGAATAACACTAACCTAAGAGTGAAATTAACATTTTTTGACATAGAGTAGAAGGTAGACTATCACAATATCACTTAGAAAAATTACAGAGAAAACGTAATACAATAATGGAGAAATCGCCTACTTCACGAACGCTCTTTCGCGCACGAGTATCATTACTGATTACAACGAAATAAGTTTCCTAAATAATAGTTATTGAGAAACCTTGCGCTTGCATCACCCATGCATAGAACCTGCATAGGTACCTGGGTATTTGGTAACAACAACAAAAAAATGACGAAAAAAAACCTAAAAGAAATTAACTTTTTTTTATATTTTAATTTTTTTCTCTAGCTCCGCAGCGCCGCCCCCGGCAAAGTGCCGCCCGGTGCGGACCGCACCCCCCGCCCCCCCCCATGCTACGCCACTGCTTAAGCCTTACTTAATAAATCCACTATCTTACACAAAGTGATTTGTTTCAAGTCTGACCATTGGTTCCTGATATTTGCGCGTTCAACCAAAAAAAATGTGCATTTGATACAACGGGTCTTGAACTACTCAACAAAATTTTAACTGTCGGTTAATTAAATTTTCGTATATGTAATTATAAAATATATAGAAATTCACTGTGTAAAATACAAGCCTGAAAACAAAAACTATAGTCTACACTACAGTTCTACACCGAAGCGAGGCGAGGGCGGGCTACTAGTATACAATAAGTTACCGCGTATCCTCCTTAATATTATAAATATATTTGTGTGTTTGCTACTCAATCATTCAAAAACTAATGAACGGATTTGCATGAAATTTGGTACCTTTATAGTTTATGACCTGAATTGAGATAAAGGATACTTTTTACCCCGGAAAAATGTTAGGTTTCTGCGAGATTTTCAAAAAACTAAAGATATGTATGTATGTAGATATGTATGTATGATACGTCCGAAGTCGCTGACTCGCGGCCGCTAGTAAAACAAATGTTTGTTGCAGTGACCCAAAGAACGTGTCCCTATACGATATTGACGACCAGTTCATGGTCGGTCCTCACGTCATGGTGTCGCCGATACTACAACCTGGAGTCACCACAACTGCAGCGTTGTTCCCGTCGCATAGCCGCTGGTACCACATAATGACCGGGGCAAATATCCCCTCCGGACAAAGGAGGGATGTTACTGAAGACCAAATAGTCACTGTTAAGGTCAGTTATTCGTTTCATCTTGACCTATATTTGTACTAGACTTTATGCGTGTGCATCCTAAAATCTCTAAGGAACCTTTAAAGATTAACAAAAATATGAAGTTGTACCTGTAGACCAATACAATATGAAGTTAGTTTTTTGAGAACGAGAACCGAGTTTATATATTGAAAAACGTCGTCAAAATCTTTGACGATGGTTTTCAAGATGTCTCCTATTCAAATGTCCTGGGTTGGAATTCCGGCAGGGTTTCTATGATAAATACGAGCATATTTACGTAAGTCATGGTTGTTTATTTATATATATATATATACATATATATATAGGGTGAAATTGAATGTTTTAATGAAACTTCGTGAGATTGTTGGGTTACATGTATAGAGTATGCCTGATTTTTTTCGGAATTTTTGAAGTATATTTTTTTCATGTATTTATTTATGATTTGTGTATTTTTATGTCCTTTCCTCCTTTTGAGTAGTTATTCATTTTAAACAAACAAACTTACATATCCAGTGAAAAATAACTAATAAATAAGCACTTCTAAAAAATGGAAAAACATTAAATTTCCACCGCGGGTCAACGACCGACCGCGCCCGCCAGCCGTTGAGTGAGTAGGTACCTCTACACAGAGTTCAGCTGACTCCTTTGATTCCACACAATACAATAAAGTCGTCTTATGCCTTTATTGAAATAATAAGCACAAATGTCATCTTCTCTTAAGCAGAGAAAAACTTTAAAAGTTAATAATAATTTTGTCACGATTAGAAATAGGCAAATGTTAAACAAAAAGAAATACTTATTGCAGTTCAATACTTAGGTCAGAATAAAATTTATAACCAGGTATTCAAAAGTACTTACGAGACCGATGAACCTATTCATTTTTTTCACTTTAACTTCCCGTATACACTTGTAAACACAATCAATCACTAAACCTACTTTCGTAAAGCCTTGTGGCTCTGCTGAGTATTCTGTGACACTACAATAACAACACACCATATCCAACTTCTTATATTGAGGCCACAGAACAAGAACTAATCAAGGCATTATTTGCAAATCTTCTCTTGTCACAAATTTAAAAGATACGCACGCGCGGTTTATAAACTTGACACTGCGCTCGCTCACTGCGCTTTGCAGGTATTCAACGCATAGGTAGGTATTCAACCGATTCAACGGGCGGGAGCGGTCATTGCTCCCGGCCGCTCGTCTTCTGTTTTTACGTTTTTTTTAGTAGTGCTTATTAGTTGTTTTTTACTTACTCTGTATGCGTGTTTAAAAAGAATAATTATTTAGTACCCAAAAGGAGGAAATGACTTAAAATATAACGAAAAAAAAAACGATAAAATTTCGTTTTAAATCATTTTTAAAAAATCCGAAAAAATTCAGAGGTACTCTATATAAGTAACCCAACAATCCCACAAAGTTTCATTAAAACATTCAATTTCACCCTGTATATATCCACTACACTATAACACAAGCCTTACACTGCTTACTGCTTGGTGCTAGTCTGATTGGCGTAAGTGTTCAACGATATTCAAAACCCTAGATACACCACAAGCGATCAAAATGTGTCCCAATCAAGATGTGCTTTAACTCCACTCAAAAACTTCTTGGTTCACAGTCACGCGCAGACCGTTGAAAAGTCAATATGCCGCAGAACTCTGTGAAAAAATGCGACAAAAATACTTATAGTACGTAAAGTGTCGTTTTTCCGACAGGTAACTAATGAATATTTGTTAATTTAACGCATTCGATGCAAATTTTGCTCTAATACTTACCATTTAACAGAAAATATTTGTAATAATCAAATGCGTGGTCGGTTATGTAGCCGTCTCTTAACTCGCGCCCCGTGCCTGCTGTAATGCCAACAGCGCATTCAGAAATACAATAAAAAATCATAGAAATAAAGTCTATATTCTTCCGTATATAGCGACAAGTCGTAAAAAATTACGACATGTCGCTTGCTTTTGACGTATTTCTTTGACGTATGCGTTTAACTTATGACTTTTAGTACTATACACTTATATACTTACACTTATATACTATACACTTATATATTATTTAGTACTATACACTATTTTTAGTTGACGACCTCCGTGGCCGAGTGGTTTGTACGCCGGGTTTCATGGCGTCGCCGACTCGAGAGGTCCCGGGTTCGAATCCCAGTGGGGGCAGATGTTTGTGTGATGAACACGAGCATTTGTACTCCAGTCATGGATGTTTAATATGTATTTCTATATAAATACACTTATATATGTAAAGTATATGTATTCTATCCGTTACCCTAGTATCCCATAACACAAGCCTTATAGTGCTTACTTTGGGGCTAGGCTAATTGGTGTGAATGTTGGAAATATTTATTTATTATTATTATTATTTATTTATTATACAGTCATGGTGAATTTAAATGTTTAAATAATGCTATATTGTTTTTGGCTACGCAATCATTCCACCGAGCTCCGTGGATATTTCAATGTACCTTTTAGACATGTTTCGGTTCGGCCACAATTTTGTTCGCGATCTAGGGTTTTCCTTATCGTTGTGAGTGTAAGAAATATATATATATTTTTATTAAAAAGCTGGTAATAAGGTTCATTCCTCGTGCCTTCCTCCGTGCTTCGGAAGGCACGTTAAGCCGTTGGTCCTGGCTGCATCTGCAGTCGTTACCACCCACCAATTCGCACTGGGCCCGCGTGGTGGGTCTTGGCTCAATCTCCTTATTCCATCCATTGGGAAGGCCTGTTCCCCAGCAGTGGGGACATGAATAGGCTGATGATGATGATGAGGATCATTATTGTACAGGGTGGTGGTATACTCCCCCTGCAAGAGCCTCCGTTACGCGGCCCCGTAACCACCACCAACACTAGAAGCCAGCCGTTACAGCTGCTGGCCGCCCCGAACGGCACGGACGCGGCCCGCGGGGAACTGTACTGGGACGACGGTGATAGCCTCAGTGAGTACTGTCATATTTACTGCATTTTAGTAAGGATATTATATCTAACTAGTGGCCCACCCTCGCTTCGCTTCTTGTAGAGCTGAAGTGTAGACTACAGTTTTTGTTCTCAGGCTTGTATTATACACAATGACATTCATCTATGATTCTTCTTATACCTGAATGCAAAGTATCAGCCCGATCGGTTTAAAATTGACAAAGTTTCATAAAAACTTTCATTCCCTATTTTATCCCCTTGGGGGTAGAATTGATCAAAATCCTTTCTTAGCGGATGCCTACGTCATAACATCTACCTGCATGCCAAATTTCAGCCCGATCCGGCCAGTGGTTTGGGCTGTGCGTTGATAGATCACTATGTCAGTCAGTCACCTTTGAGTATAAGATATATAAAATTCTCATGTCACGGTGTGTGTAATTGAACTTTTGGCTCGACCGATTTTCATGAAATTTTATATGCATATTCAGTAGGTCTGAGAATCGGACAACATCTATTTTTCATTCCCCTAAATGTTAAGGGTGGTCCACCCTAATTTTTTATTTTTTTATGATACATCATACAACAATAGTAAAATCGCTGCTTATTTCGTATCAAATACAGATGCTAACAATTGGAACTTTATTTTTCATAATGTCAAATAGCCTATTGGGAAAAACAGCAATTGAGAATCTCCTTTTTGAAAGCCGATTGAAAACTGATTCCTTATTCAACAGACAACTACGACGAGAAGAAATTCAGCCACATAGAGTTCGAATTGGAACGAAACGTACTACGAAGCAACGTCATTTGGTGGGGCTTCGGCGTTCCTTCCATAAACAACATCACCGTTTTCAACCAACCCACTGTCGTATCAGTATCTGTTGATGGAACCAACTGTGTTAAATCGCACTGTCAGTTCGCATACGTAGAAAAATTCAAGGTACTACACATTTTCCGCATCAACTTGGCTCTAGACAAACCCTTTGAAGTAAAATGGTTATATAAGGCGAAACACAACAAGGCTATCGCCATCAATAGCCCTGCTGTTTCCTCCTCTGGTTAGACTTTATATGAAGTGATTTGATTGTGTTTTACTTAAGACTACGACGTGACTATGCGCGGGAGTCCTAAAAAAGAAAGCCGTAGAATAGCAAAGTCGTAAATGCTTATTTGTACCAGTGTTTATCAGTGAATTTTTCTTTAAAAATTGCCCGCAATTAATGCATCTTGATAAAACGTAGAAGATTATATCATAAAGTTATTAATTCATAAGAAATTGATTTATTACTGTCACACCTAATTATTAGTTTCAATTGTGTTTTTATATAAAATAGGTAATCATAAATAAATCCTACATTTCCTATGGTAGATATCTTGTTCTTATATACTACAACTGAAATTATGTATATTTAAAAAACGTCCATACTACGTAATTTGAATTGAACAAAATCACCAACTTCATGAAAATTAAGAGATAAATATATATTAGTTAATAAGCATTAAAACTCCCAGTTAAATATAAATTAATTATTCAAAAGTTGAATGTTGATTATGATTAGGAAAATTATAAAAAGGAAAAGAAAAGAGATATTGCCAATTACTTAAAATACATTTGTTAATGTTTGACAAATGTTTGTCTGTCTAGTCATAAGGTGATTTTTATAGTCTTTATTGATTTATTTCTGTATAAAAGATAAGGTCAGTAAAGTTACCAAGAGGATAAAGAATTTTATAAAATAATTAGGAAGCCAGTAATATTTTGTTTGTCTTTTAGGAATTTTCAACCTATTTTAATGTCGTCCTTAGATTATAAATCTTAAGGTATATTATTAAATTTAAGTAAGTTAATGTAACCGATTCTGCTTCCTATTATTGTAATATTTTACTTCGTATTCTGCAAACTTTATGAACACATTTAAAAACAAGGAAAACATGAAAAGAACCACTACTGCCTGTAAAATTAAGAATATTTGGTTTTTATAATTATAAAAAATTGTAGATGTTAGAAACATTTTCTTTATCTATTGTGTAGCATTTACTGAAATAATGCTCAATAGGTATGTATTTTATACACGTATGATATATACATATTACAATGTTCTTAATGCTCAGATTAAAACAAAAAGGGAAGATACGGTACGCTCATACTAGCATTAAATAAAATATGCTCCGATGCAACTACATAAGCAACTCTCACGCACGCACACTTCTGAGCCCTTTTACAAAATTGCGCCGCTGCCGCACTGATCGCGCGTAGATAGATTTGCACTAGTATAAATTGCATTTTACGGGTGATGTTTCGAGTCTTATAAAATAATTATTAAAAAACTAATTATAAAAATTTATACATATTTCAGTAGTTTAATGATGGTAGATTAGTTTTATGAAAGTTTTTGATAGTAATTCTATTTAATTCAATATCAAAATACGAGGTAAACCTGCATTATTTTTTGGGAAAACTCACGGAGGTTGGACGTTTTTTTTGATAATTAATGAGATGGAAAATCAAAATTCTAATACTTTATGTTACAACAAAAACATATTTCTGATGTCATAGTAATAAATTTGATCTAATTTATTGAACATTATTGAGAGATTTGATGCGTTTGAAGTTGTGCATATTATCGTTTTTTCCGTAAACTAGTTGCAGTAAAACGATCAGTACAATAAAAGAAAATAGTATTTGCAAATATTCTACATTAACTTATAAAAGGAAGAATAAATCTACTATTTACTTCTATTGGAAATAGTCAAAATCTTTCTAAGGGGGTAAACGAGGCGCTCATAAATGTACGATTTTTTGCAAAAAATGTGAAAGGGCTCTTAATCGAGCGAGCGAGACAGAACTGTACGCTTCAACGTAGCGCGAGCGAAACGGCGAGTCCGTGTCACTTGGCAACCGACTGCGTTTTCTTTTCTCTCTCTCTACAAACGGCTGAGCTACATCGTTGTCCTTTGCTTGATAACAAATGGCGAATAATTAAATAACATTCATGACATACCGTGATTTTTGGAAAAAATATGCTTTTATAGTTTAATGAATGAAGTGTTGCCGTGAAGTTTGTTATTAGATCTTGAAGTATAAATGTTCTTAATAAGAGCATCGAATGCATTGTTTTATCTTTATATCACAGAATATACGCATTTTTTTATTTTTATTTAAGCGGTACACTTTAGAGCCGCGAGTGCCATACCTTTCCTTTTTGGCTCAATCGAGTCTTAATGTCATTATTATCATAATATTGTCATAGTTTTTTCACAATATTGCACAATTTTATGCAGTTCAAATTGACTTTTATCAAGAAAGATTTTGTAGTCGAGACATATCTTTAAATAATATATTGAAAACCCCTTATTAGATAACATAGTGTTACTACAGACAGTTACAGAGAATGTGAGTTTTAATTTTATAAATTGATGCCAAAGTAGAAGTGATTTTATTTTGTATACTTTTTATGAGTGCACTTCAATAAATTTAATAAAGCACAATATATAATGTTTGACTCTTTTCTTATTTCTTATTTAGTTGATGCCATTGGCGTTGTTTTAATTCAAATGTGAACATTATAATGAAATTACTGTTAGAGTCTGTGTGGAAAGAGAATGGGATTTAGATTTGAGGGCGCTGTAGTGCTTTTCTACCGTATTTGTAAGATTTTAACCCTTTTAGACATGATTAAATACAAAAAACTGCAAGAAATCACAACAACCAACAAATCCATATCAATACAAAACTTTGACGTTTTACAGATTGCTGGGTTTGATTTCCAAAAAAAACCCACTCTTATAAAATTTAAAAAACCATAAAGGAGGATAGAGGAAAAGTAAGATATTACATGTAAGAAAAAAAATTAAGAGGAAGATCTTTCTCTGGCAACAAATGGTTTTATTTTCTCGTTTGTCCCCAATGAGAACGAAGCCAGTGGACAACAACGGATTTATTTTTCGAGCAGTTATATAAAATTTATACAAATAATATATAAGCAACCACTAATTAAAACACAGTGACGTTAAATTTCCATTATTACCATATTATGTCCCTGATAAAACTACACTTATAATAGAAATAAAAGTCATACACATAGTTCTAAACTAGAAAATAATTTAATGATGACTTTTATAAACTTAACATAAGTTTATCTTCTGTGAATGAATCAGTAACATTATTAGCAAATGGGCTAACAATAGCCCTTATCAGTGTTCTTGTTCAGCGTCAGTCTTCAAAAATTGCTCATATTGTGTTTCATCCATGAGATCCTTTATCTCTTCAGGTTTAGTGAGTTTTAATTTAAATAACCACCCTTCATCATAGCATGATGTGTTAATTAAACCGGGTTTACCTTCCACTTGTTTATTTTTCTCTGTCACTGTTCCAGTTACTGGGGAATATATTTCGCTAGCTGCTTTAACACTCTCTAGTGCTCCACACTCATCACCTGCTAGTAATTTTGTACCAACATCGGGAAGCTGAGCAAAAACCACATCACCGAGAGATTCTTGAGCATATTTACTTATACCAACAGTCCCTATATCTTTATCTACAGTAACCCACTCATGCCTATTAGTATATTTCCTAGCAGTGTCACTGCTGTAGTTCTGTCTTGAAACACTAAATGTTTGGTTCACATTTGTTTGAATAACCAGGTGCTTTGGCAATTGTCTTGTGGATAGGAGTATACATCTATGTAAAGCCATGTTGGTACTGAAAGTTAAATTAATCACTTATTATTATAACTTTATGCCTATTAATAAGATTTAAAATATTCATAAAGCAATGTCTAAACAATCCTTTACAAGAAACAAATTCTGACCTTCACAACCAGTTCACTACTATTATAGCTGCACTAAACTCGAATAAAATAATAGTAATTTACAAATTATAACATTCTCAAATGAGCCCAATAACTGAAAGATAAATAAAATAAACAACTTCACTGATAATTTATGTCAATAACTTTGATAACATTGAACTTTTTGAACTCTACAATGCTACTTTTGAACATGGATATCTAAATAGTTTGCTCGCCTGCTGCTTGTTATAATCAATGATTTCTTGGCCACTTACACGTATATTAAGAACAATCGAGTAATAAGTTAATTCGAGGACCTATTTCTTAAATTTTTATTTAATATTTGTATTGTTTATTCGGAAAACTACATTTTTCTTCTATACTTTGTATACTACTTTTGTAATTTGAATTCATTGGCAGACAGCAATAGAAATATATCCGTTTTATGAGCAGCAACTTACCAATATATTCGATTAAATTGTTATTAATTTGTAATAAATTAAAAGTCACAGAAACAACACGCTTAAAGGTTAGAATTTTATCGTCTGTCTGTCATTTCTGATATTTTGACAACAACAGCTGATTGACATTTCGTTCAGAAATAAAAAAAAAGTACTAAGGAATCGGACAGGCACTGGAAAATTAAAAATACTACTCGGCTGCCTTAATCCATATTGAGCTCAACATAAAATATTAGTTCAGCAGCCTTTTGGCCTTTTTTGGCACAAGGGACCATTGAGTAAAGTTACACTACCACACTTGTTCTACCCCCCTCGTCAAGTCGTATCTTGAAGAACGAATATTTCAAGTTATTTAAAGAAACGGAACATTTGCATTTCACAACAGCCGCAGGGTTCTGCACTTGGTCAGATACTTTATACTATTTATACCTGTGTGTAACCTACCACATTCCCTTAAAGTAACTGTTGAAATTTTGCTGGTACTGTCTTTAGGGTTACCAGATTGAGAAATCAGATTGACAATATTATAAAATATCTGGACATTGGGATTTATGGCTGGACAAAAAAAAATCTTATTATTACAAAACAGAGGAACCTTAATCAAACAAAATTAATATGAAATCACTTTTTCTGCCATATAGGTATATTTAGCATTTCCTTTAGCCGCATTTATCATTTTAGAACCTTTATCTTTATTTAGAAAAGATTTAAATTTAGTACAAGTTTCGTCAAAGTTCAATCGAATTGTTGAATTCAATCCCGGGCATAGATAGCAAGAGGCCGCAGCTGAGACAATGTTGCCAACTCGGTGGAAAAACCACTAATACTGGTGGTTTATAATTTTCAGCTTCATTTTAGCTGGACATTTTGCCTAAAACCGGGACACTGGACAACGTGTGAAATAGCTGGACAATCCAGCCAAGTCCAGCCAATCTGGCAACCGTAACTGTCTTCCTCTCGTGTGATTCTGACCCTAACGTAGAAAGTGCACAACTATAGGATATAACTGGATGCCACCATAGGCTGATTAAAGAAATGGCGTATCATAGCAAGTTCACCCAAATCTCATCACATTATTATTCCAATGTTGACCGGTTTAACCTGTCTTCCGAAGCATGGAGGAGCTCAACATATTTTTGGTCACCCATCCTACGGCCGGTCATTACGAAAGCTACTTAACTTCATAGAGCAACGCGGACGCGCTCTTAGTCCTGTCCGCGTTGCTCTATGCATACCTTCCAAGTTTGCAGACTGAATTATGCTAATCAGTGCTCCATTGAGCTTAGCATTTAGTGGAATAGGTGGAGAATAATAAAAATGCATTTGTTGATAGATTCACTTTATATGCATTTCGTTTGGTTTATTGAACTGAATCTGAAGCATCTTGCTGAACAGACTTTCTTGTTAAAGCAGCAGTAGTACAAGTATACACAAATTAACCAATTTCTAGTATCTGCTACTCCAGCAACATTTTTTATTTACCTGTACCCCAAGCACGAACAACTCTAGCTAGCGAGAATGTATGCATTCGCCATCATCAGTTTCTATGGAAGGAGCAAGTTTGTCCACACGTCCGCTAGGGGCGCTGCTGATTTTCTATAGAATCTTTGATGATGGCGATACGAATACTTTCCCGCTAGTTTTTCGTGCATGGGGTTTTGGGTACTGGTTGCGTTGGAATTACTTGCTAGGCACTTTTGTTTATCTCTAAACGTAGGTAATGCCCATATTCGTTTTATGCCAGTCTTATCAGTGTAATTTTCATGATCTATTATTTATGATTAAAAAGAAAAAACAACTATTATTTACCCAGCTGCTCCTTGTCTTGAGTAGAGACATTGATTAATATAGCATCGCTGCCTAACATATTAGTTCGAGAAAAAATGTAAATTGATGATGTAAGTTGAAAAAATTTAAATATGTATCCAAGGCAAATAAATAAGCTATTTAGTTGTTTAATGATTTTATTACACAATTAAATATAATATGTTAGTATATTACGCAACTTTATGAAAGTTGTAACTTCACCATCAAAAAATATTTCCGTCTTCCAAACATTACTACATATACAATCAATAGCACACATTTTTGTTTCCAATATTAAACTCTGTTTTCTTTTATAAGGCACATAATATACTGTCCATCCATAGTAATCTCTACCGACATAAAAGCATGTTATGTTTTAATAAATCAATATACTTCATATAAAATTGAAAATACTTAAGTTAATTACGATTCAAAAATTTGAAGTAACCACGCATAATATATTGAACCATGTTTTATACTTACTTTAATATACAGGATAATATTAAAACGCTGTAATCTCGAAAAAAATCTGCTGTTTCATACAAAAGTGCATCAGCTAATCGACCGAAATGTATGAAACAGCTGATTTTTTTTCGTGATTTCAGCGTTGGTCCTATAATAAAAGTTGTTCCTGTTAATGGGTAGAATCACCCCCTAAGATGGATTGTTGGTGTTTTAAAATTAACTTGGTATAATTTCAAGTTCGCAATCAATTTCCAATGGAGTTATTAGGGCTCCTTCACAATAAAACATTTGTTGAAAATATTGAAGTCAAGTTGAACCTTAATTGAACTGTCACTCTTTCTTCTTCACAGTCTGCAGAATATAATTTTCTGTAGTACACAGAGTAACTTTTTATAGTCTCCACCAATACTTTAACTATAAATTCTAAAAATTATTTTAACATGTACCTTTCAACATTGCTCATAGTCAATTCATACTGAATGCATACAGATTTGTAAAAGTTCCTATTGCATTTTTGTACTTTTATTGATGTGTAACATCTTTCCTCTCGCTTTCCTGCAATTTGTGGGAGTGCTTTCGTGAAATGGGACGGAAGTGTGTAACAGGAAGTCACGAAAGCGCGCGCTATTTGATTTGATTTAAGAACATAATGTTCAAATGGCTTATTCCTTTTGTAGTAGGTTTTATTTCTTTTTTTACTAATATAAGGTGAGGTTTAAAATGTTACACATCATAAGCGACTACTGTAAGGCTCGCTCGTTTTTTTATATTCCACTGCCACACACCAAATATTCGTTTTTTATAGTGTAATAAATATTCTTTTTCACTATAGAGATTCGAAGTTTTGCACTGTGTTTAGGACAAATGAGTATTTAGTCTTTGGGTTAATGTTGGTTAGTTCACAAATTACATATAGATATTCTTAAACTAGGTATATTTCAAGCACATCTAATCGAGCACCAATAAAATGACAATAGTATGCTATGATCATAATTATATGTATATAGAATTAGTTCCCAAAAACGTAATTAAAAAAACGATCAAAACACAACCTAGGTACTAAACAACAATTAAAAATACTGGCAGTTATACTATCGTAAGTTTTTTTTATACTTTTACTACTAATAAATGTGTCACTTAATAAAAATTATTGAATTTAGTAAAATTACTAAGTTTTACTATACATAATTATAATATATAAAAAGAAAACTGTTTTGTCTCAACAGTGGCTTTCGCAATATATTACTCTTTAAATGACGATTTTAAAGGTGAAACAAATAAAATGATATTTGAAAAAAAGAAAGGGTAAAATATACATACATTCAAACTTTATGACGGCAGTGAAGTTAGCGCCTATTGGTAGACAAGACAGTAAACGAAATGTAGAGTGTAGGGTAGTAACGTAATGTAGCTAACTTCACAGTCATCAAGAAGTTTAAATCGCAGTATAATGTAAAGAATTTTAGTTATTTAGCGTTTCATCTTTTCTAATATGGGTAGGATCATTTCGAATGATGGTCGCTTGCCAGGATCCTCGTTCATGCAGATCTTGATTAGCTTCGATATGTGGGGCGATATACCCGGTGGGATCGTGATGCGGAGCCCTTCTAACGCTATCTTCATGCCGCACTCCATTGGCGATAAGTCAGCAAAAGGAATCTGTCAAAATAATAAGAACCATAAGACCTAGAGATAAATGAAGCCTTGATGTTATGTTGTCTGCGTTTGAGATGGTGTAGTATATTGTGTTACACTCATATCAGACCTTATAAAATAGGCAATATGGTTGGAAAGGTAAGCTCGCAGCTCGATCCCTCCCTTGAAGACCGGGCCGAACAGGACAAACCCACAGCGAGTGTAATAATAAATAAAATTGCAGATGGTGTTTTAAAAAACACAAACAAGAAGAAATCCAACTTGTTACAGGGTCAACTTGAATTATTTGTAAGTAAAAGATTCACTAAAAAAAAGTTTTGGCTTAATCCTTAAACAGACAGGGTCTGTGGTCGTAAGACTGAAAAGGGCCGAAACATAAGAATCCTGTAAATTACATCAAGAGTAATAAAAAGAAAATCATAAATCGTGCTTTATACCCATTCAGTGTTTTTTGATATGATAATAGTGCGTGAACACATCATACTAATCACACTAATATTATAAAGGCGAAATATTGTGACTGTGTATGTTTGTTACTTCTTCACGTCTAAACGGCTGGAGCGATTTTAATAAAATTTGGTATGGATTTAGCTCACACCCTGGATTAACACATAGACTTTTTAGTAATTAAAATATAGTTTTAATAATTAAAATATCCCTAATACACCGTAGTTAGTAAGAAATATACATCTAAGCTATTAGTATTGTATACTAACCTCCCTAGTTGCCAGCTCCCACAGCAGAACGGCGAAGCTCCACATATCGGCCGCCTCCCAGTTCCTCTTGTTGGCCGGCTTCATCAGTGCCTCGGGGGCCATCCACGCGGGCTGGTAGACTCGCCCCTTCTCTTGGAACGAGAACTTCGCGTCCGCCATGTTTATACGCGCGGTTAGGTCTTCGTCGATCTGTTACAACATTTTCATTTTTTTATTGGTGAAATATACGCGTTATGTAATTATTTCTACTATACTGATGAGCTCGATGGCGCATGTTGTTTACGCGTCCGGCTGCGATCGTTGAAGTTAAGCAACTTTCGCAGTAGACGGTCATTGGATGAGTGTTAAGATTATTAGCAATAACTACAAATTAATTCGGAATAAAATATAAAAGACTGATGTGGCTGTCACAGTTTTTTATTATTGACAATTAAAACGAATGACAATACATTTT